AGCGTAAGATACTCCAGTACAGAGCAACGTTTTCTTACAAAGTGCCACCAACGGAGCCAGTAATTAGTAATTATTGATTTCCTGGAATTCTTCTTCTGCTTGGATGATATTAGCAAAAATAATAGTAATTTTGGGCAAAGCTGTGACGGAAATCCTGTCATCGTTGATTTCTGGTAATAATTATGATTTTGAAACATTCTAAAGGTTATATGTTTTGTTTGAAGGATCAATCCCGATGAGCAGCGTGTTTTCACCGAAGCTGAAGTAAATGACTTCTGGGGAAACAAACATGATTCAGAATCTGTCCTGATCTCAGAAGCTCTGAGAAATACTTGAAAGAAGATGAGAAAGGAAATCATTGTTGATGAAATTTCATTAATATGATAGATGAAGCAAAGATTTTCATTGATAACTTTCTATCAAAAAATACTGAAAAACTGGATGTTAGAGGTGATCTCAACGAACACTTGTCGAATTTCAAGATTAACTTACTATTTTTTTTTAGATCCACCTCTTGAAGTTATCAATTATCTAAAAAATAATGGTAAAGAAGATAATATAATTGAATGCTCAACATTTCAAATACAAGATTTTGGTACACATCTTTGTGGTTATTACTGTCTCCTAGTTTTGAGAATGTTTGAAACTGGTGAGTTTCAAAAAGTTGTGTTATCTTTATTTGAAATTTTGTTGAGTATCAGTTTTAATCTGATATGTTTCATGAACGATTAAAATCAACAAATGAATCATTTTTAAAGAGAATAATGTTTATTTGAAGTAGTCTAATTGTCTCTATCCAGGCGTTATATTGTGAGAGAAGGAGACTTTCCTTTCCATTTAAAACTGATTCTTTCATTATCGATTTGTAAGCAATAATTAGGTCGATCGAATGTCGCCTTCTTCTTTCCTTTATTGCAATCTGGTGGCTGTTTCAAAATAACCACACCTATTATGTTCTTATATAGGTCATTATAAATACTGCTTATATTCCTTCTCTAATATTTGACTGTCGCTGTTAATATCTGTTTCGCTGCAGAATACACACTCTCTTCTATTACGTAAATGTATTGATACTTTTTTTCAGGAGAATATATGAAGAAAATACTTGCCATTTGTCTCAGCTTTGCGACTCATTTTCATGCAGGTATGATCATCATAATAATTAGAATAAACAGTTGCAAACATGCATGTGTCATGTGCTTAACTAAACAAGGTGTTTACATGAACAAATACAAACACTTGTATCTTTCAGGCAGCACTAGAAGCACCCCTTCCACATCAACAACAGCTGCTCCAGTAGACAGTACACATGGTTTCGCCTCCGCAACCACACCATCTTCACTTTTCGACATGAACATCGAGCTGGAGAAGATAGCCAACACCTGCCTTACTAATCGAGACCACGAGTTGTTATCGGGCGACATACTTAAGCATAGATTGGCCAGAGCTGTGAATGTAAATTTGGTGCTCGAAGTGCAAGAGGTTATTGGTCTGGCAGAATTGCGAGACGTGCTCGGATTTGCACCACTTGGGCCTTGGACTAAATATTCGGAGCCGAGCAACGAAGAGATTGCAGCCGCCTCCACCATCGAGGTGTACTATACACTCAGAGAGCCACAAAGTGAGATGCGCAGCTTAGACAGCGAATTCTTTTATGAGAAAAACTTTCCTCCCGCCATTGCGTTCATGGACAAGCGAATTCCTGCCATTCGCACCATATATCGAAACAAATTTGCAGAGATTCGTCGTAGTCGTGATTCAAACGAGACAATAGATAGAAAAGAAGTTGATCACATGATTGATGAATTTATCACCATTTCCCTCCGCATAAGCGATGCAATTTCTGCTTGGAAACCTTGCAAGCTGCTTGCAAACCAGTAGACTGTTTCACGATTTGCATTATTTGATTACATGTGTATCAGAAATTGTTAAATTTATTATTTATAAACGCATATGTTTATCTGCATCGACTACTTACAGTGCATCACATCTTCACATATTTTCTTGATGGCAACCTGAAAATTTTAACTTTAGAATGGAAAATTGAAAAGAATTAGAAAAAAAACTTTAGAATTATTTTTAAAAGAATCATTGTGAAAAAATTATGTGTTAACCTTGCCGCGAAACATTTTTCCAGCCGCGCCCACAACGTCCACGAAACGAACAACATCCTCATTCATCAGTTTGAAAAAATCTTTCTCAAAATCATTTTTAGCGTTTTTCCTGAGATTAGTAATAAGTTCTATATAAGGAGCTAACCAATAAGATTCATTAAATATGATAATGTTTCGAATTTTCTTTAGCTTCATTCCATTCCATGAATACTGTACTATGTAGTATGCGTATAAGTTTGAATTGTTTTCCATATATGGTTTATCATATATAATAGTTTGTAGTTTAAATCATAATTGTTTATTGAACAAGCAAAGCAATATGAGGTTAGAACTATGTTTGTGATTAAAAAAAAAAGAAAAAAAGAAAAGAGAGAGAGAGAAGGAGATAGTATGGTGGGTTATCTGAACAAAAAGCTTTTCTATTAATCCCTTGAGGAAC